TATAAGTGGAGAAATTGCTGCATCCAGAAATGGAGTGAATAAGAGAGAATAGAAGGAAAGAATAGTGTGATTATTTTTCCCAGCTCGTTGTACAGCATTAGTGACCCTTGCATTAACCTGCTTCTCTTTCTGCAGCCCCAGCCTGAGCACTGCATGATTTATTAACAAGGCCTGCCACTGTGGGCTACACAAGTACAAACATACACACAGAGACACACACTCACAGAGAACTTAAACACATTACACACAAGTTTTTCAAAGCCAATACTAATTTAGCACAATCGCACAAAACACTGTTATGGCTTAATACAGTGTGCCCATTCCTCATTTAGTCATCTAAGTGCTTTATTAGTACATATTTTAAAGAGTCTCAGGGGACTGCAGCTTTGAGTCTACACATCCCATAAACTGTTATCTAAAACTCTCACTAATTATACCCAATCATACACACAAACACAAACACAACTCTCAAATGTGTCTTTGCTGTGACCCAGAGGGATCCAACAGTGGAAAAACAAACATGGTGTATTCTAAAAGTGGGTTGAGGGGAAATTATGAAACTGGTATGGGGGAGAAGGAAAGGAAGGGAGGCAAAAAAGGAGGTTTCTCCCAATTTAAATGAAAAACGGGGTCTTCCCCTTTTTCATCTGTGGTTATTTTCAACTAAAACTTGCAAGTAATTTATCAGGCCTGTCAAATCTGGAGCAGCGACTATGTGATCATCTGAATCAGAAGAGATGATGTTTTGTCTATGAACTGTGTCTTATAAATGACCATAGGGCAAATCTACTGTACAATGACAATGTATCACACAATCACACAGCTGATATTTGTGCAACAGTCCTCCAATCAGTCCGCTGTACTGCCAAAGAACAAAAGCAAAAAAGGACACTGTTTAAGGTTAAGTTATTTCATTAGCATGGGAATTTGTCATTGACTGACAATGACCTTGAGCCAATGTACTATAACAAAAACAAGTCACCAACTCTGTGTAAACTCTGTTTAGCAGAAGATGTAATGACCTAATCAACAAAACTGCACCATAATTCTTCATGCCCCATGGTCTTTTATTGCTAATATATTACATATCTCATCACATCCCTTTAACTGATTGGTCTACAACCTGAGAGAGGCCCCAGGCAAGCACGCACGCACACACAAGGCATTTTCTTGCTGATTGGTGGCTCATTAAGGTGAAAAGTGAATGGAACAGACCTAAGACGAAACTGAGCAACACACACACACACACATACCTAGAGAGAAGGAAATTGATTTCTTCAGAACATAGGGAGATCAAAAGGCTTATTATAATTGGTTTGTAAATGTGGCTGAGCTCACCCACCCACTCTCTCAAGCACATACAACAGCATGCAGACACCCCTGCACTGACAAACATGCATTCATCTGCAATAAACTTGTGATAAAGGAAGGTGCTGTTGTTTGTCTAGGCTATGCAGCAATATATATAGCAGAGAAATAGCATCACAAAGTGACTGGAGGTGGGGTGGGAATCTCCATGAAAAAAAATAAAAGGTTGTCGTACTACAACAGACCACAGAAAGACAGTGATAAAGACTGAGACACAGAAGAGGGAAGGGTGTAAAGGCTGGAGAATTGGGATATGAAAATGATCCTCACATTATGAGGATTAATAATCATATATGCTCCTGGCCCTTTTCTCTCCTTTTCTCTCCCGAATCAAATTAATCACCACCGCTCCCCCCAGCCAAGCCTTTCCCTCTGCTCACTCTCCTTTTCTCACCCACCTCCCTCCATCTCTTGCTCTCCCTCTCATTCTTTTGCTAATTGGGCTATCTGAGGTGCCGACTTCAAAAGGCACCTGCTATCAAACGCAGATGAAAATGTGAAAAAAGAACAGTTCAGGATATATATATATATATATATATATACTATTACATGAACAGTGTATGAAATCAAGCCTTGTCACTGTTCTTCTGTACTTTTCCAAAAATTAGCTAGCTATGCATAAAAACCCCCTCTGTTTGGATTCAGTCCACCTTTTATAACTATGTTTGTTATTATTATAAGAATATAAAATTATAAGACAGAAAAAAAGCAATAAAAACTAAAAAACATAAGCACTTCAAAGTGAGGATATGAGAACCAGTAGCTTAAGGGAGAATGTGGGGATAAGCTTCCCGCCTAAAACCTTACACACTAGACTAACGCTTCACACACTCGCTCATCTAAACAACTTGGCTGTTTACAATTGCAAATAGTCATATCAGGTCTCTAATTATAAGCCCTTACACTCCCGAGGCACAAAAAATAATAGCGGCCTTTTCTACATGTTCAACAAGAATATAGACAGGAAGAAGATGGCAGTATAATAGCACCATGTCTCCACTACACATACTGCAGTGGAATTTGGCTAGTTACAAACAAATCTCTAGATGGAACTTAAAATAAAATTTTATATCACACCAAGCTGTACTACAGTTGTACAGTGTAACAGCTTGCTATTATCTCAGACTGGGCATCAGTTCAACCACATTCACAAGCGCAGTAACCTTAACTGCAGCATGGAGTCTTACCAAAAGTTAGTGCTTAGGTATAGTAAAACAATTATGCCCACCACTGGTTTATCAACAATACAAGAGAATAAATAGAGAAAAAGCAGGCAGGTAGTCTGCAATCTAATCTGAGAGAATATACACAAAAAGCTCCTGGAGGTGGCCTCCTGACATCCTCTATAAGGCCTTCCTAATGTATTGACTGACTACTACATGCAAATGTATCATCTCCCATGTTGACAGCTTAGTTTTGCATGTCCATCCTGGTGAAAAAGACGTTAAGCAGCACGGTACTACTAAAGGTGGCCTTGGCTGCATTGGTTGTTCGCAAGGCAAATTAAGTAGTTGGAGAGGAGAGAGGTGAAAAGTCTTGAGGTTAAGAAGGCTGGACAGGAATAAATCAAATAAGGTGGAACTTTTCTCAAATAGTAGTGTGGATATGTTATGTTCTTCCCTGACCTCAAAACCACTGTTGAAAATAAGCTCAACGCTGAAATACAATTTTAACAGACAGAAAGAAAAGGTCTGTGTGAGTGATGTTAAAAGCAGTTAAATGAGATCATATGCTAAAAAGAAACATGAAACACCACGTAATTTAGGAACAATTTGGGAAATGCTGTGATAGATTTTCTATAGATACTAATAGATTCATTCACAGACATAAACTACAGATAATTGATGCTTACTGTTGGATAGCAGTGTGAGTGACTTATGGGGATGCCTACTTTCAGTAGGATTTCATCTGCTCGTTGGGGCAAAATCCATCTTAACATTACAAAACCATCACCTCTGCACTTTTTCCAGGATTTCTTTAGTTAAAATTTGACATGCTCAACAGCAGAACAGGAGCATGAAGGATAACTACTGAACTTGACCCTGCTTTCAATGAGAGAGAGACAGAACAGATAGAGATACATACATAGCTAGGGATATACAAACTGAAAATATAACTACATAGAAAGAGAGCAAAAGATGCAGCCATGTACAGCCAGAGGGCGTGTCTCCCACCATCAGCTCTCTGCTCTTCCACCGAGCCTCAGAGGTCACCCCTGACCCTGCCCTGAGCGCACTACCCCCTGCATGTCTGTTTTCTGTGTGGGTGTGTGTGTGCAAACCCAGCTGCGCTGCTGGGCAGCTGATGGAGAAGAGGAAGAAGGGTCAGGAAGGGTCAGCGGTGGCTCGGTGTGGTGTCGGCCTGCTTTTGCTGGGTAACGAGGAATGGGAGGCGCAAGAGAAGGAGGAGGAGGAACAGGAGGATGAAGAAGAGATAAGCCGGGCTCCCAGAGGTGAGGAATAAGGAGATGGATAAGGAGGTCAGGAGGAATGTATTAGGCCTTGAGCGGTGTTTTTAAGCAAGAAAAGGAAGGACGAGAGGTGAAGGGTCAATCTGCATAACCAGGCATAGTGTGGATTAAACCACACAAGCACACTCACAAGGTCAAACAAAGCTCAATCAAATCCAAATTCTTTCAAATAATGTTTTATTCCTAACTATCAAACTTTAACAGATTCAAAACACGCACAGGAAATCAGCAGTCTCTCACACACACACACACACAGATATAGATACAGTACACCCACACAGGCAGACATAAAGACAGACAGGTGTGGGGCTATGAAAAGGCCACGGTGTCTTTATAGTCAGCTCTCAGAAAAGGTTATTAGACATCAACCGGAACAGGCGGCTGTCTCAGCCAATAAAAAGTGGAGGCGTGGGTGCACAGGCCAAGGGGGTGCGGGGAGGAGAGGGGGTCAAATCAAGGAGTGACAGGCGGACGTTAGGACTTGCCATACAGGTGAATGCAGATGGGACAGCTGCCATCACTGACATTTAACTGACACCAACAGCTAGCATCAGCCATGTGTGCATGTGCACTTTTGTTTATGTATATGACATGAGAGGTGTGTCTGTGTGTGTATGTGTATGGAGACTGAATCTGAAGGTCAGATGGAATTATATACACACCCACACACACTGTCTGGGAGTGATTTCCTGGTGTCCTGGTTATGGAATGAATATGGAGGAGTTAGAGCAGAAGGCTCAGTGACACTGGGACAAGGTGATAGGAGTGGACAGGTGTGCGTGTGCGAGCGTACGCCCGTGTGTCAGCGCTTTGTGCCAGGACAGCAGGTGGCTAGTCAAAGGACATCAGTGACCTTCTCCTTATCCCTCCCTCTACCCTCCTCCCTTTGTCCATCTCTCCCTCTGTCCCCAAGTCCCAATTCATCTCACCCGGTAGTGAGTGCTCTGTCTCTGCACAACAAGTCATGGGCACATTGAGAAGATGAACACAAACACAGGTGTGAGTGGTTTATTCATGAATCTGTGCGTGATGCTGTTTTGACACAGTGTTGTTGAATAATGTAAATGTGCAGTGTGTCCTCCAAGCAGAGGAAGGGGAGGGTGAGAAAGGCTGAAGATGTGTGAAAAAGAACTAAATGGAAGTGTGTGCGTGATATTCTTACCTTTAGTGGCTGATGGATGCAATGCAGGAGAATTGAAATAGTCATGGAGTCAGGGAGAGGGGAGAGGGGAGAGGGGAGAGGGGTGTGGGAGAAGGAAGAAACAGAGAAAGACATTGCTCATTATTGTGAAACACAACATGATAACAGCAATAGTAAAAACACACAAGCTAGACACTCACTCTTTGTCTGCGAGGAGAAGGCCAAGGTGAGTTTGGCAAAAAGCTCATTGTTTTCAAATTTCTCCTCTTTTGCCTTGGTCCAGAAACTGTTCTCAGAGAGGTCCTCTGGTCCAATCTAAGAGAAAGAAATGCCAGTATGTACAGAGGCACACAGAGGGAGACAACATTTAGAAGAAATAGATGTATTGTATGTGTTGGATAACCATATAATCAAATTGACTCAATTTTCCAAAAATGGTCAACTCTGCACCTGGAAAACAATGAGATGAGCAGATAAAGAAGTTGAGAGAACAAAAGAAACAGCAAGGCTGTAAAAGGAAGAGGCAGGGGTATGAAGTAGAGGGAGGGGAGAAGGATAAAGGAAGGAAGGAAGGAAGGCACAAAGAGGAAAGGGAGAGGAGGAAACAAGTAGTCATTTTCTCTAATCTTCGCACACTGTCTCTGCCACAAAGCGTCTTGAGCTTCACACACAGAAAGGCAAAGAAATACAGAGCGCTCCACTTTTGTTCCTCCCCTTATTCTTTCGTTCTTCACCCTTACTCAGGAGGTATCTCCGTATCCCTCCCTTTGTCTTAGCGTTGCTCTCTCTCTAGTCACAATTAACTTTGTATGTTTTTCCCTCCCTTTCTGAGTGTTCTCATCAAAGGGAAAGAAAATGAGAGAGAGAAACAGAGAGAGCGAGTGAGAAAGCGGTGCTAGTAAATTTACAGATATCAGTCCTTTCATTATGGACAAAGCCTCAGGGATGGGGGCGTAGGACGGAAAAGACAGAGAGTAGGGAAAGGAAATGTGATATGGGGATGAGCTGAAGGACCAAGAAAGAAAGCAAGAGAGCGCGCAAAAAGGAGGAGACCAAGCCAGAAAAAAAAAGTTAATTTAAATTACAAAAGAATACTGTCCTTTCTAGCAGCAATTTAATTATCTTTCAGTGGCGCAGTTAAAAGAAGGAGGCTTATTAAAAAGCAATTTCTGTGACATCCTCGTCAAACACTCTCAACAGCCCGAGAGAGAGAGAGAGCAAGAGAGAGAGAGAGAGAGAAAGAGAGAGGCTAAATGCTGATGAAGTCTGCTGAAGCCATTAAACAGTAGCTTTAGGCTAAAGAAAGACAGAGGGCCGTTTTGATGTTTTAACCATCACAGATGAGAGGGAGGAGAAGAACATGAAGCACATAGTCATGAGATACACGTATGCATGCAAGTCACTTTAGGTCAGAATCTCACTGTTAAAGCTCCATCTTACATTTCTCTCACACTGTTGCACACAAAAAAGCATGCCCTGAGCCATTTCAAATTGTATTGAAAAACTTAGCACAGTAAGACAAGTACAAATTTTAAACTTAGTATAATTTTAAAAAAAAACAAGTGCATTAGGCTCATGTGATAATGAGGAGGTGAAATACAGCAACTGCCTAATTTTCAGCACTGGCATAATTTTTTTTGCACCAGGACAGATTATCAAAACTAGAATTTATGCCTCCCCTACCAATCAAGCTGCAGTTTACAATAGATTCTTTACATCCATGTCTGTCCAGACTCATATATATATACACACCAATTCATTGTCTGACCAACTCTGAAATATGGTCACAATCTGTCCCTGAGTTTTAAATAATGGCCAAAAAAGTATTTTTCCAGGAAATTATGATGTGTCAGTCATGTTGACCATTGACCTTTGGTTAAAAAAAAAGTAATCACATCTTCGTTTTTTTTTTCGGTTTTGTCATAATAACCATACATTTTTAAATTATGAGCAAAAACATGTTTATCAAGGTTATTCTGAGAGTCAGTGAGTAAGTACGAAAAGTGTCACCAATAAATTGTACCACCAAATACGGTAGTCTTGAGTTAAGGCCAAATATGTGTTTTGTCATGTCACAGTGACATTCCCTGGACCACCAAAATCAAAGTTCATCCTTGAGCCCAAGCGAATGTTTGTGCCAAATTTGGAGAAATGCATTTCTGAGATATCGCCAACAAGAATAGGGCAGACAACCCAAAGACATAATTACAACAAGCTGAGAAACTTCTGGGCCTAATACAACCAAACACCTATGGAAGGAAGCTATGGGCTATTAAATATTTACATCACCTGAAATTTTTGCAATCACTAAACACTGATTGTATGGAACCATCCATCTTAGGACTGACCTTCCTCCAGTTGGCTCTCTTCAGCTGGACTTCAGGCTTGTACTCCTTCTTATGCTGGAGCCCATAAGGCAGAGCAGCGGGTGCGGGGGCACCCCAGCCCCCCATGCCTGGCGGTGGAGGAGGCATACCAGGACACCCAGGCGGAGGAGGAGGCATACCAGGAAACCCAGGCGGTGGCGGAGGTGGTGGAGGTCCCATTCCAGGTAAGGGTGGAGGGGGTGGTGGTCCTGGCATGCCGGGGAGGGGTGGAGGTGGTGGAGGTCCTGGCATGCCAGGTAAAGGAGGTGGAGGTGGAGGAGGAGGAATACCGGCATGACCCGGTAAAGGAGGGGGCGGTGGGGGAACAGGCATGTTTGCATGGCCTGGCAGGGGTGGGGGTGGAGGTGGAGGTGGAGGGGGCATACCTGCATTCTGGCCAGGGAGAGGAGGGGGAGGTGGTGGAGGAGGCAAACCGGGTGTTGGCACAGGAACAGTAACTGTGACAACTTTAGTCTTCGCCTCTTCCAGATCTTTAGACAGCTTTTCAATCTGCAGGGAAGTAAGAATACAGTACACTATTATAAATACTGATTGATCTGCTACCAAACACACTACTATATTTCCAAACCATATGCATTGATTTATTATATGATCATGACTGTGTATTGTTTGTTGTACATTTCTCGAAGTGACATTTTGTATAGATTTGCCAATTTCCACCATTTCCAATGAACAGCCTTGCCAACAGAGTGATTCGATTTTAGACAAAAGGCAGAACAAAAGAAGGGAAAGAGTTACATAGAAGGGGATTAAAGCCTGGGCAGGGTTGAGTTTTGGGAGAGAGAGGGGGAGAGAATGGAGTCCAAGGCACTGAGAGAAAAACATAGCAATAGGGAATTAAGTCCACAGAGGAATTCTAAAGAAAAAGTTTTAAAAGACAAACTTCTAAATTAGAAGTTTGGGTAAAACATTTTTTTTCCATTTTAACACTGAAATACTAATTTCAGTATTTACATCAGTGTGGTGACAATTCTTGAGAAAACTGTCCAAGTCATTACAGTTCTTCAGCTAATACTGGCATATGAGAGAGAAAACTGGGGTTTGAATGCGCATAGTACACTCTCTGATTTAAGGCATACAAGTATAAAGATGTGTATTTAACTAGGTGTGTAAAGTGAAAAGAAAGTGCATGTATGTGTGTGAAAGAGTATGTATGCAGCGTAACAAATTGTTTGTGTTGCTTCCGCCTCAGACTTTGAAAAGAAGACAGTAACAGACATAAAGGGCCTCCGAGGCAAGCTTTCTTAGCGAGGCAGCAGATGAAGAGTTGGGCACACCATCACACAAAGGGACAGTGAGAGATCTCTACATGTGAAGAAATCTTCGATGGGCAGTGCCTCAAACACAGAGAAAGTGAGCTATCTTAGTATGAGAAGCTTGTTAGATGCCTGGCTGGTGATGCTGTTGATGCGTTAGACAACTGTGTGTGCATATGCATGTGTGTGTTGTGTGTTGTGTGTTGTGTGTGTGTGTGTGTTTGGCTTTTGTGTGGTGAGAAGATGACTCCGCTGGCATCAGCCCCTTTGGATGAGGCTCATTTTAGAATCTGTGTAGTTCTCTTACTGACAGACACAGACACAGACACA